AAAAAAAAATATCACATGTTAAAAACTTGAAAAACTATAAGTGCAATTTTTTAAAAATATCTTTTTTAGTTGTAATTTAATTAAAAAAAAAAAGTCAAAAATTTTTAGACGTCTGCTAACTTCAGTGTCATAAATTTTTTAAAAAAAAAACATTTCTAATAATTTTGAAATGTCGGCTAACTTCATTTTCATAATTATAAATACTTACGGCGAAAATGAATATCATTTGTTCTCTCAATTTCCTCAATTTCATCGTCTTTTTTTAATATCTCATCAATAATAAAATCGTTTTCGCGGTCGAGCTCAACGAGACGCAGACAAAGAGGACTGGTGATTACTTCAAAAAACTCATTGCTGTCCTTACATGCCTCCAAATCGACAGCAAATTTAAAAATACCACCTTCGATTTTTTTTGTCAATTCCAACTTTGACGTCGACGATTTTTCAGATAAATATTTTGGTAAATTTATCAATAAGTCTTCAACTATTGAGTTTATGTCAAAGTCCTCAATGCTCAATAGTGGATTTAATTCCTTTTAATTAAATAAAAATAACAATCAATTATTGTAAAAAAAAATATTTTTAAAAATTCCCGCTCTATAATTTTTTACAAAATTTTTTTTTTTAATTTAATTATAAAAAATTTTTAAATTTTCTATAATAAAAATTGCACATGTAGAAAATTTAAAAAACTATGAGCGCCATTGTTTAAAAAATATTTTTTTAGTTCTAATTTAATAAAATTATTCAATTTCAATTTTTAATAAGTATTTTTTTTTTTTAAACTTACTTGGCATTTGTTTGTTATTTTTTCCATTGACAACAACTCAGTAAATAGCTCTCGAAAATCAGTCAACATTATTTTCCATTGATTTCTATTACTGTAAGTAGATATTAAATATTTTTTATCATCAATTGTTATTTCTTCCCACGAATCCATGGTGAAAAAATAAATAAATATAACAGAAAATTATAATTATGATTTAAAAGCGTGATTTAAGTGTGTGGTAATGTTTACATGCCCGCCATTTGCAAAATAAGATATGTAACTTTTAATGAAAATGAAGTTAGCTGACAATTGAAAATTTTTTATCGAAAAAATTTCAATTAAACAATTAAAAAAAAATATATCATATGTTAAAAACTTAAAAAACTATAAGTGCAATTTTTTATAAATATATTTTTAATTGTAATTTAATTAAAAAAACAAAATCAAAAATTTTTAGAGACGTCTGCTAACTTCAGTGATGAAAATTAAGTTAGCCGACATTTAAAAATTTTTAGAATTTTTTTTTATTGAAAAAATGATTACAAAAAAATAAAAAAAAAATTGTCACTTGTAAAAAACTTTATAAACTATAAGTGCAATTTTTTTTAAATATTTTTTAGTTATAATTTAATAAATTAATTTAATTTTTTTTTAAATTTTTCTCAGTTAACTTCAAGTAAGTGGCGCCAGCTGTCAGTTTTTAAAGAAACTTTATTAAAGCGGCAGGTATATATCCCTGATTGTAAATTGTTCAGCTTGTTCAGCGACCCAATACGATACAAGGATCCAGCATGAATATATATATATATATATATATATATATATATATATATATATATATATATATATATCCGAAAGGACTTAACAATTTACCCAACGTCAGTACCTGGTTAGCGTCCCAAACAGAGAAACAGAGTGTGGACAGTGCGTTTGTGATTAATTATATTTAAGTTTGAGCTGTCGCTCAAACAATTTTTTTAAACAATTAATTATTGTTAATTAATTAATAATTAGTGACAAAAATAATTTTTTAAAAATACCTTTTGGATTTTTTAAGGTAATAATTTTTAATTATTAATTTTTTTTTTCAGGTTATTATTATTATTGTGGTGTAAAAAAAAAAGTGGGGGTATAAAGGGCAAAAAATAATTTTTAAAAATAAGAACCGTTGGCTCGAATTTTATGTGCGAGAAAACGAGGTCGCAATCGTGTAACTGTCCGGATGATGCATCTGTATACTTTTATTATTATTATTATTATTATTATTTATGTTTATGAAAATTAAGTTAGCCGACATTTAAAAATTTTTAGAATTATTTTTATTAAAAAAATGATTACAAAAAATTTATGTCAAATAATTTTAATTTAAATTGTAATATTTAATTAAAATTGCAGAGATAAAAATATATGACCGATATTTTATTTCCTGGAGGCTAACTTACATTTAAAGTCGTGTAATTGATTGGTTAATTATTTTAAGAAGGTTGTGAAATATTATTTGGAAATTTTGTGTAACAGGTATTTTTTGTTATTTTATCTAAGCCGGGTTTTAGTATTTTTTTTTTATTATATAATAAAAAAAAGGTCACCAAAGAAATATTTTATTAAAATCAATGAAAGTTATGTCACAAGGAAGTGTGTTTTAATATAGAAGCTAGATTTTATTTAAAAACCGGTTGGCCATCGGCTAGCGCATATTTTGTCGATTATTCATTAAGAAGAAATATTTATTTGCTTTGAGATTTATTATTAATTTTGTTGGGTGAAATTGAAAGGATTTTTAGATGTTTTTTTTTTTTAATAAACGAGAAAGAAATTATATGATAGTAAGTTTTTATTGTTGATGAATTGTAATTTGGAGGTAATTGTTAGTTTAAAGTAGGATACTTGTTACTTTGTAAGAAATTACTTTAAGTATTGTTATTATTTTTGGAATAGTTTCATAGTAATTGGTTATATTTATTTAATAATTGATAATTTAAAAGTTTTTTGTAGAATTTTTGTTATTATCTATATAATTAAGAAATTACATTGTATCTTGAGAAATATTGACATTTTTAAAGATATAAGCTCATACTGATGTTATACTTATCAAGAGCTTTCATTTGAGTACCCACATCAATTTTTCATATATTTTATATATTTATATATATTATATATATGTATATATGAAAAATATATCAAAAATGCAAGTGGGTACTCAAATGAAAGGTCTTAATGTGTGTAATGTTAGGATGAGCTTATATCTTCAAAAATGTCAATATTTAAGAAATGACCTTATATCTTGAGAACTATTGAAATTTTTAAAGATATAAGCTCATTCTGAGATTACACTCATCAAGACCTTTCATTTGAATACCCACATCAATTTTTCATATATTTTATATATTTATATATATTATATATTTATATATATGAAAAATATATAAAAAATGCATGTGGGTACTTAAATGAAAGCTCTTGATGAGTGTAACATCAGGATGAGCTTATATCTTTAAAAACGTCAATATTTAAGAAAGTACAGTGCAATTAAACAAATGTCACTATTTAATAAAGTAAAATATTATTTATTTATACTTCACGATGTGACTGCAAGGTTGCTAGTTATTATTTCTTCATTAAAAAAACTTGACATTTTTCCATTAATAACAATAATAATAATATTTAAAAAATTATTGTTATTTTTAATATAATTAATAGAAAAATTTCTTGACTTTAATAATAAATTGTATAATTATCGTGCACTCCAATATTCAAGATACAGTTAGTAATAGTCAGAAAAAAAAAATCATGAAATTGCGTATCGTGTTATGTGAACATTATTTTATTATTTTTATATCAAGCATATATCTCAAATAACTCGAGTAATTTAATACGTATAAAATATATATCCATAATATAACAATTATTTATATTACAATCTAATTTTATTATCTTCCATAACAGTTATACATTATTAACTTAATTAAAATTAAAATTATTCTCTTACTTAATTTGCATATAATAAAAATCCATTGTTATCATTAAATATCTTCCATACAATTGAATATAAAAAATAATAATATTAATAATTATTTATTTACAGACAATCCAACATTAAAATCACAAGTGAAGAAAAGAAAGAAATTCCCAATGTTTAATGCCTACAAAAAATTCCGCTACAAAAAGCTGAATGATTAATTAATTTATTAATAATTAATTACCCCAATAATTAAGAAGAGTTAATAATAATAATAATTATAATAATAAATTCAAAGGATAATTAAAAAAAAAACTGGGGACTCCCAGTTGAAATAAAAAACCGTGGAAGGCTCAAGAAAATCAATAATAAGCCACTACGGGCTTTACCAAAATTCCTACTCATGCAGCAACGCACCTGGCAGCATCTACGGCTACCCTACGACTACGACTACGACTACCCCCACTGCTAGTTATTTGCCGGCGTATCCCCACTTCCAGAGCCAGTTTCAATTAAACGAAGACTACCGGCCGATATATTTTTATGTCGCTCAGCCCTACACCATTCCTTACACCTTCGCCAAGCGCCCTAAGAGTAATAATAACAACAATCACACCCTTTCTATTGGACGGTCCACTAGGAGCAGGAGTCGGGTCAAGTTTTCTAAGAAATTGAGCAACGCTGAATTTTCTCAGAAGGTTAAGCAAGGCGAATTTTCAAAGAGTTTGAATCAAGTTCAGTTTGTAGATTCTACAGGTAATTTTTTTATATTAAAATTAATATTTCAAATTAATTATACAACTAATAGCCTTTTTTTTTAATAATAATATTTAAATAAGTTAAAAAAAAATTAATTTTTATTAAAATTTTCAATATTTCTATTTTATTAATTAATTATTAATAATTTTTTTCTGTCAAAAAAAATTGATTAGAATTAAAAAAAATTTTTTTGACTTATAAAAAAGTAATTTAACATTTTTTTAAACTCCTTTTTGAAAAAAAAATTGTTTTCGTGTTTTAAAACACACTCTTTGCTCGTTTTCCAACCTCTTATGACGTCATATACCCCCTCCACAATTTTTAGTTAAACATTTTGCCAACAGATGGCGCTGTGGGTTCTTGGAAAAATTTTTTTTTATTAAAAAATTTATTAATAAAGAAGAATTAATAATTTTTTACTAAAAATAAAATTAAAGAAATATATTAATATTAGTATTTAAAATAGTTAATCTTTAAATTATTTTTTTAATTGTTAATTATTAAGGTAAATATATATTTAAATAAGTTAAAAAAGTATTTTCTGCGGAATTTTTGATATTTTTATTTTATTTATTAATTATTGATAATTTTTATTGTCTAAAAAAATTATTTAAAATTTTTTGGACTTCAAAAAACATTTTTTTAAAATTCTTTTTTAAAAAAAAATTATTTATGGATTAATTTAGCAAAAAAAAAATTTTTCTGCGCTTCGTTTTTTAGAACACACTCTTTGCTCGTTTGCCAACCTCTTATGACGTCATATACCCCCTCCACAATTTTAAAATTAAATAAATTCCCAACAGATGGCGCTGTAGGTTAATTTTTAAAAATATAGAAAATTTATTTGGAAAAAAATTTAATTTTTAAAGAAAATAATTTAATAAATTAAATTTTTAAAGAAAATATGTGCAAAGTATGTAAATGACATTGACAAGCAGCCAGCCATGACCTGTAAACTTTCACATGGTCAGCGACAACCATTATAATTAATATAACAATTTGTTTGAATTTTCTCTAGTTAAAACTTCTCCAAAAGAATTGCCAAGAAAACCAGTAGATCCCGCAATGACGTCCATGTTCAGACGAGGAACAATTTTTGCGACGTTTTTCCTCTCGCTGATTGGCGGAGGACTAGTTTGTGCGGCGCTGGTGACTCAGCACTGGGTCGAAGCCAAAGCTTGGCGGACTCCTAACCCCCATGAGAGCGCCGGGAAAATTCATTTTGGACTTCTCAATGGAAAAAAGGAGCTCAATGTCGCTTATGGCTGGCGTACCTATCACATTACAGGTAGTTATTATACATGTATAATTATAATGGTAATTATTGTGCTAGAAGGGGAAAAATTAAAAAAGGGGTTTGCGGTTGAGCGCCTACTGAATTATTGTACGCATGGTCATTACCCGCGGATATTGCACGTGGGCTTTTTGTGATGTAAAGTTGGAGTTATAATTTATTTATGTTTTGTAGTTTTTTTTTTTTTTTTTATTTTTATTTTGCAAACAAGTCACGTTCACTAAACATGTGTACGTTTTCTTAAAATATCCTTCAATTAAATATATTTTATTCATGCCACGGATTTATAATCACTGTAAAGGCTATTAATATTCTTTATATGTCCTTGGAAATTATTTTATTGATAAAAATTTATTATTGTTATTTCATTACTAAAAACTTGTAATTTTTCATCAATAATAATAATAACTAGCAATATCTGGCAGTCACTACGTGACTGGCTCTAGTTAAATTGCACTGTACTTTGATAACTATTGACATTTTTAAAGATATAAGCTCATCGCGATGTTATACTCATCGAGACCTTTCATTTGAGTACCCACATGCATTTTTTATATATTTTTCATATATATAAATATGAAAAATTGATGTGGGTATTCAAATGAAAGGTCTTGATGAGTGTAATGTCAGGATGAGCTTATATCTTTAAAAATGTCAATATTTCACAAGATACAAGGTCATTTCTTAAAAATTGACATTTTTAAAGATATAAGCTCATCCTGAAGTTATACTCATCGAGACCTTTCATTTGAGTACCCACATGCATTTTTTATATATTTTTCATGCATACATATATATGATATATATATAAATATATCAAAATATATGGAAAATTGATGTGGGTA